GACTATTTGTTGTAAGACTCATATTTTTTTGAAGTATTTAACTTCAATTTGGTGTTTTTTTAAGTATTTAGCTTATTTTTTTCGTTTATAGAAAATAGGTTAAAACCCAAAACCCATGGGTTTGAACCTAGAACCTGTGAGTATATGGGTTGAACCCAAGAAACCAAAAAACCGACCAAACCGATTCTATTGGGTTTTGAAAACTAGAAATCGACCATTTATGGGTTGGGTTGGGTTGGGTTTGAGTCCAAAACCGGTCCAAACCAACCCATGCACAACCCTAATGTTTCGGATTTCGGTCTGATATCGGGCGAGGCCCGAGGAAGGTTTATATGTATGTTTCCGAACTACGGTTCGATGTCAGGTGGTACCTGACGCAGGAATACATGTTTAGCTATACTTGTTGTCTTTGTGATACTTGTATGTGCCTAGTAGGAAGGTGAGTGTGGGCGGGAAGCCGTATCTCATCACTAGTTGAGTGTGGACGAGGTTCCATATCTCATTAGTAGCAGAGTAGGGGTGGGGCCTTGAGACTAGTAGTTATAGTGTAGTGATCACCTGTTTTGTATTAGCATGATATATGTTTTGTTTGTATGTGTATAGCGGGCGGGGCCCATAGACAGGCAGGGCCTAAGAGAAACAGATCTGTATACTGAGCGGGGCTCGATGCCGGGCAAGTCCCGATGCAGCGAGCGGGGGCCTAATATATGTGTTTGTGTGTATGGTATGTGGTATATTGGGGAATTCACTAAGTTTCGTGCTTACAATTTTCAGTTTTGGTTTCAGGTACTTCCGGTAGCGGATGGAAGAGCTCGGGATGACTATATGGCACACCATATTTTTCAGCCTGGGATGATTTACTCTAATAATTTGATACTCTAATTATAATGTTTTGAGACATTGACTATGTTTGATGAAAAGATTTGATAACTATGGTTTTACTTAATGATTTAAAAATGAAAATTTTGGACTGTATTTTGGGAATTTACACCATAAACAAAGGCAATAGAAGTAGGTGCATGATTTGGAATGCCTTAAAGACCAATACTTAGCAGGAAACACGTCGATGAACCTTGTTTGTTTAGACGATGAACGGTAACACCATACGTGTTTGCAATGAGAAAAGTAAGTATCAACATAATACGCCAATATCTAGTTACCGTAATGTTGATCCAACATACTTCAATGAGTGACTTGTGTTATTGAAATAGTTTTCATGAATCAATGAGTATTCTTTGATGTGTCACACTAACTTGTATTATAAATTCGATTGAATTTTACGCTAATTGTGTTCACAATAAACGAGCTAAATAACTATTTCCCGAAATACACATTTTAATAAATATGAAATGATATAATTAACTTCATACACCACAACATACAAATTTTGAAAACGACAAAGACAACTCATATCAGATAAAAATGACTAAAATGTAGATAGATATTTAAACTATAAAGATCAAAACTATAATCTACTATTTAATAATAATAATAATAATAATAATAATAATAATAATATTATTATTATTATTATTATTATTATAGAAAAGACAAAAGGAACATAAAAATCAAAAAGGGTTAATAAATAATAAAAAAAATTAATAAGTGAAATATATAAATAAAATGATTTGATGAAACCCTAATTGATTTAATTAATATGAGAGGGGTGAAACTAAGTAAGGATAAATAATTGTCAGTTTTGTAAATATTTTTTTTAATTGTTTGTAAAATAAATATTTTTAAATTGTTATCAGTCTTACAAATAACTTTTTAATTTATTTTTGAATTGTTTTTTATGAAATAACATCATTATAATTATGAAAATAAAAATAATAATAATAATAATAATATAATAATAATAATAATAATAATAATAATAATAGCTTATACACAACCAATTATATATTGTTTTATCTAAAATAAAAAATAAGTTGTTGATTTTAGATAAGGCTACTTATACGTTGCTTTATTTAAAAATTAAAATGAAAAATAAAAAAAAATTAAAATTGTTGATTTTAAATAAAAATGATAATTTGACCAATAAAATTTCAAATATAATATATAAAGAAGTGTTTTAAATTTTATATTAAACTATTATGGTTTTTTAATTTTCACATTATTTTATGTTTTCTTACGATCAAAATAACAATATATTTTTTTGTTGATATTTTATTCTAATTTTTGTATACATAATAATTAAAGTAAAATGTTCTGATCCCTTGGTTTGCATAAATCATTAGTTTCTGTGTTAGTATTGAGATTTAATTATGGGATCCTTATTTCACTGCTTTGTCCCTGAGGTCAGACGGAGCGGATGCGGGGAAAGGCCACGGTAACCTTTCCGTCCGGCGGAACACCGTACCGTCGGTGCGGGTAAGGTGGGTGCGGGAAACGGAGAGGGGAGCCTTTCCCGATCTCTCTCCTGCTGTGATTGGGCATTTACTTTTTTTTTTTTTTGAAAAAATACGGTTGTGTAACGGTAGACAGGTAAATTTTTTTTTCTGTGGCTGTTAACAGCTACTTTTTATTTAATTTTTATTATTTTATTATCCTTTTACAACTACTATAAATACATACACATAACTTTTAAACATATCAAATATTCTCTATACTCTCTACTTCATACCAACAAAAAAAATGAATCCCGACAAACAAACCCCAAGTTCCGATCGACGGAAAAAAAAGTCATGGTTCGAGTATAAACATCCTTCATCGCAACATTTTTGCTATCGATTCATCCCAACAAGGAGTTTACCGCCCCCAACTCGATTCTCCCATTCAATCGCCACTAAAATTCCAATACCAAAATATTGGCCAATATTACTCGATGCAAGTTCCAAATGTTCCGTCGCAAATGTTTTCAAACTTTGTTGTGTTTCCGGATCAACAATCGCCAAATCAACCTCAACCCCAAACTCAAACTGAAACTCAAACCCAAACCCAACACCACCACCAACTTGTCGATGAATTGGATGATGCGGAAGAAGAAGACATGGTTCCCGAAACTCAACCAACACCACCACCACAAAGACGTAAAGGGAAAAAACAAGTGCGTGAGGGTGTCGCACAACCGGGAAGACAAAAGTCGACACTATGGGTTCCACACGAAGAGCTAGTTTTGGTCAAAGCTTGGGTTGATATTTCTGAAGATTCGATTCAGGAAAACGCACAATCGGGAGAACATTTTTGGTTTCGCATTTTAGAACTATTTCGAGAGGAGCTAGGAAAATGTGACGACTACCATACTAAACATCAACTTAACTCAAAGTTTCGAGAAATAGCAAGGGGAGTTTCAAAAATTAACGAGTTGTACAACAACCTAAAAACCCAACGGAAAAGCGGCCAAGGCAACGAAAAAATACTTCAAGAAGCGTTGCAGTTTTACCTTGAGGAAGTCGGAAAACCATTCAAGTGGCACGATTGTTGGAAATTATTGGTCCGAAGTCCTAGGTGGATAACATACGAGCGGGATTTTATTTTTGGAGTCCAACAATCAAAGCGAACGAAAACGGGCTCTAGTGGTTACACAACCTCCTCCGATGCTCGGGTTGGTGTAGATTTAAATCAGGACGACGAACTCGAGCTAGAAGAAATTGTACGCCCAATGGGTAGGGACAAAGCAAAGAGAAAGGGAAAAGGGACTTCTTCGAGTGCATCTGATTTCAGCGTGGACATTGAGAAAATGCGGAAGATAACATCGTCGTTTGATCGATATAATCTTAATTTCTCCGAACGTTTGGTTTTCGAAAAAGAAAAAGAAGAAACAAGGAAAAAGGAGCTGGCGGAGAGACAAGAAATGCAAGACATGAAGTTTTTGATGGAAAACATCGATCATCTCTCGGGACCGGTTCTCAAGCTCGTAATGAAGAAGAGGGAAAAAATATTTTCCATAGGTCGTTGGTGGTTTGTCTGATTTTTAGTTTGTGTGTGTGTGTGTGTGTTTTTTTTTTTTTTTTTTTTAATTTTCTACTTTTTTATATTTTAGGTTTAATGTAAATTTTATTTTAATTAATGAAATGCTTTTGATTTTTAATTAAGTTTTATGTTTAATATTAATTTAAAAATTATAATTCATAACAAAAAAGTTAATTTTATTTATTAAAAAAATAAAAATAAAATAAAAATAAAAAAGGTGAGGGAAGGGCTTCCCTCATACTCTTTGGCTTTTAGGTGAGGGAAAAGAGAGTGAGGGAAAAAAGGGTATAGCCCACCAAAGTGAGGGAACCAACCCTCCCACTCCTTCCGGTCTGAGAATTAACCATGTTGCTTCCACCCTTAAATGTATATGAAAAGACCAATACACCCTTTTCTAACTTCCTGCTTTATTTTACATTGTTGATAACCATCGGGGGCATTTCTGTAAATTTAAAAAAAATACCCTAAAAGTAAGACTAAACTGCACAAATGGTCCCTGTGGTTTTGCTCAAAATTGCCACTTTGGTCCAAAAAGTTTTGGACTAGCACCACAGGTCCAAAGTTTTCATTTTGTTGCTAGTTTGGTCCAATTTGTTTTGAACTTTTACATAATGACCATTTCGCCCTTAGTTATTTATTTATTTAAATATTTTTCTGTTTAAAAGAAAAATAAAAAAAAATTGTATTTTCTATTTTACTTTTATAATTTTTTTATAAAGGAATAAAAATAAATAAATAAAATATAAAATCTCTCTCTCTCTCTCTCTCTCTCTCTCTCCCCCTCCCCCTCTCTCTCTCTCTCTATCTCTCTCTCTCGTAAACAATAAAGATATACCTTTGTCTTCCCCCCTGACCTCCAAAAACTTTGAACCCCATCTAAATTACAACCGAAAACTGCCAGCACCACCTTCCGCCACCACCACCATCGGATGCCACCGACCAAGGTAACTGATTTCCTGCCCATACCCGATCAAAACCCACAGATCCACCAACATCCCTTCCTATCAGCAACCCTAAATAAGATTTGTGGAAATGAATCCCTACACATCCATCTTTTCCGGCAATACCATAACTACCACCGATTATCACCTCCCATCTATTTCCTCCCTACGTCTCCAGTAGTTTTGTTTCTTCCCCACAACCGATGGTTGTTGAACCTCCGCGAGGATCGTCATCATCGGACCTTGAAATCCATCAATTCTCCCTGAATATGAAATCCATCCTCACCACCCACCTACCCCTCTCTCTTTCATCCCATACGAATATACGAACATACCTATCTTCTTCCTTCTTCCTATAGAAAATAAAAAATGTGAGCATACATGCTCTCTCAAAATTAAACCCTCTGCAAATCTATGATCTTTGATATAACATACAGAGGAAGAAGAAGAAACTAGGGTTCTTGAACCCATTGAAAATCCCCATAAAAAGACCCAAAACACCATTTCCTTATTAAAAATCCTCATACCTTCTTCTTTGATTATGATTTCAACTTTCCCCCTGTTTTGAAATGACTACGATACACAGTTACAATAAAATCATTACTCACTCGATCAATCATCCAGGTATGAGTGAAGATCTTTATGTTAAAGGATTTGGGCAGTTTCTCATTTTTTCAATCTAAATCGATCACATGTGCTAATTGGTGTAAAAAAGTCGTGAAGAACAATTGATTTTGGGTGTAAGCCATTGAACTGGGTATTTGATGTAAGCTTCAACTCAAATTTTTACAGATGACGAAAATGGAAGAAGATGCATCGATGTTTATATGAGAATGAAAGAAGATGGGGTTGTAGATTATAGGAGAGAGAGAGAGAGAGAGATTATATATTTTATTCCTTTATAATGAAAAATTATAAAAGTAAAATAGAAAATACAAATTTTTTTATTTTTATTTTAAACAGAAAAATATTTAAATAAATAGAAAACTAAGAGCAAAATGATCATTATAAAAAAGTTCAAAGCAAATTGAACCAAACTAACAATAAAATGAAAACTTTGGACAAACTTTTTGATCGAAATTGGTAATTTTGAGACCATTTGTGCAATTTAGTCTAAAAGTAAAGCACATCGTCTTCTGATGTGCTTCAACAACCGATTGATGGAGGCGGCAACATCCTAGCATCTCCATCGTCGGCCTCCGGTGGTCAAAAAAGTATTGTCGAAGCCGGATTACCGGCGGATCTAGCTTCAACTCGCACTCGGTTTCTTCAACTGGAACTCTCAACAACCAGGATTCATCTACACTTCCATTTACTATCAATACATTCTCAAGTCTCTCTTCATCTCCCGCCAATCCGCCATTGTTGATACGCTAATGAAGCAATTCAAAACTTTTAAAATTCAACTCAATCCTTCCATCAACGGTTCGACTATCGCATAACATATCGCGGTCAAAAGGGATCTCAACTCGTTCTCGGTATTTAACGATGCTAGATTCTTGATTCCTGATCGCGGTCAAAAGGGATCTCAACTCGTTCTCGGTATTCAACGATGCTAGATTCTTGATTCCTGATATTGGTCCTGAAGCCTGTAATTTGCTAGTTGCAGCTCTTTCTTCTACTGGGAATTTGGGTTATGCCTACCAAATGTTCGACGAAATGACCACAAGAGGTATTCGTTTATCTACGCTAGAGATCTATAACATTTCCATGAATGTTTAGCAGAACAGCTGAATTAGATAAACCTTTGAGCTTCCTTGATGATGTGAAAAACCAAAACCAGGATGTAAACGATTCAATTCTTGCATTTTTTATTCTTCAAGGGTTATGTTTAGAGAGGGGGGATTGTGGTATTAGTAGTGATCGGTGATGATGGTGGTGTTTGGAGATGGCGTGAGCATTTTGACCTCTAGACCGGGCCAGATCAGAACCGGATCGCCTCAGGTCCGGTCAACTGGAAAATCAGGACCTAGACTGGACCTGGACTGCCTCAAGCGGTCCAAAGTTTACTAATTTCTACCAAACCGGTCCGGTCCAAGAGCCCTTCATGTCTGGTTTGGTCCAAATGTGTCCAAATGTTCACTCAAACTTCTTGTGATGAAATCACAATACCAGGACCAAACATATTTTATTTTTTGTCTAATGAAATTCCCGTCCGTTTTGCTAAAGCAAAGTGCCATGCAGGTTTATCACTAAATTATAATGCAAAATACAACTAAAATACTAAATAGTACTAATAGGAAAAAGAAATAAAAGTGCATTATTATTTTACTAAAATGCCCAAAACGGAACTTCATTTAACTAGTTTTAATTTAATCTGCACGAATACGATTAAATAGGAATATATAACAGAAAAAAAAGCATTGCTATACTTCCACTTTTTTTGTTTTAAATAAATACATAAATAAAATGATTTATCATCCACTTACTTATTTATATATACTCTCACTATCATATCCTTGTTATCCAATTCTAATCAAATTAACTTAAATTAACGTACTATCAGTGTGGGACAAAATGACAATCGGAAGAATGTTTAACATACAAAGTGTTAATGTTAAACACTTATAACCTTCATTGATGTTCTATGCTTAGCAATTTAGCTTAAACTGGTAACTATTATGATAGTATAAGTTATATAGTTGTATACGTTTTTACCAAAATATATAATTGGGAGAAAATGCATGAAAGCATAAAGACGTTTTTATTTATTTTGTAATGAAGGAATGAGTAAAACATACCATATTTTGCAGGGTTTTGGATCATATCAAGTGGAAGATAGTAAGCATCAACGTAAACCATCTTTGCAAAAGGTAGACGTTGGCTTAAAGAATTAATCTCCATTGATAGCTTGGTGTTGAATAATTCTGCCAACTCATTGTAGTTCTTAACACACTCTCTTTGTATTCCTCCTACTAATGTTCTTTGTGAAGGTAGACATCCTATTGGTGGTAAACTGAAAACTCCGATTCTTCGAACACCTAAATTGTATAAATCCTGTTGATTTTCAACTGTGAAGTCATTGTCCTTTAATGTAATATGTATGAATAGATGGTGTTCGTTTGAATTGATCGATTTGATCTGATCTAATTAAGTATATTCAGAATTGATTTCGGTTTTCAAAACATAGATCTGAATAGTACAAACTAAATTAAGAATTGATATGATGTAACCAAACATAATTAGGTTGGACTGGACCAAGAGTAAAAATATTTATAAAAAAAACATATAACTTTAACATTAATAAGCTTGATTAATCAAATGTAAAATCCACAAAGGATTTATTATATGCCATTTTAGTGCATTAAAAAAATGACTTGTAAATCAAAATTTATATTAATTAAGACTTTTTTATATGGTGCATGCTTTCTAATTAAATTTAAAAACAATTTTAATAAGTTAACAAATCCTTATATATATATATATATATATATATATATATATATATATATATATATATATATATATATATATATATATATATATATTACAAGTAAAAAAATATAAATATATAAATAAAAAATTGTTATTCACACTATCCGGTTTTTTTGTATCATTAACCAAAACTAATCAGAAATCCAATATAATAATTCAAATTTTATTAAACCAATTCAAATATCCGAATCAAATAATTCAATCCATATTATCTAAGTAAAAAATTCAATTTCTTCTAAATAGTCAACAGCAAGTCAGCAACAGTCCCAAGTAAGAAGGTTGAAGAACTATGATATTGGGTCCATTTTAAACGTATTATTTAGTAAAATGAAAAACACTATGGAAAAGCAACCCGACCCGATTGATCCATCTAGAATTTATCCATGGTTTTTGGCTAATTTATGTACTTTATCATGTCATGTTATTTATATATCATAGTAATTAAACCATATATAGTAGTTACCTGTAAGAATGATGAAGCAGAATCCACGAGAAGACGAGAGTAGGATTCAAAGTCAAAGTGGTATCTTCGTAGAGGGTTATTAAAATACGTATTGGTGACGTCATTACTCCCTGTTACCACAACGAACAATCCTTTGCTTAATATATCATTTACTGCTTCCTCACCTGCCATCGACTTCACCTTCTCCAAGTATTCTTTGAACAACTCTATTTGTCCCGGAAGTGATATCACCGACTGTACGTACACATGCATTCATGGCCAAATAAGTAAATTCACACATATATAATCTAATATTTAATATTTAATATATGGAAGTTATGAACGATATTAAATATTAAATATCAATTAAGTAATTAATTAATTATCATATCCGTATATGCGTACAGCAAGCTGAGACGTAAGAGGATCATATCCACCACCTCCCGATGCAAAGTTCACTCCGGTTCTTAGATCTTCGATCGGTAGGCTTGGGCCAAGATATGGTGGTAATACTTCTTTGATTCCTAGTTCTTCAACTGTAAATTATGGGAGTTGTATCAATACTAAAATATTATCATCATTTACAAAATATATATACATATCTTAATTCTCTTCCAAAAATGCCCTCATCAACCACATTACTTTAACTATAATTTACGCATACATATATAGTTTTTAAGCGACTACTATTTAGAGGTTAGTAATTACTAATTAGATCATATCAAATTAATAAAAAGAAAGAGATCAATATACAAGCGTATGTATGTATATACCAATGAGATCAGGAGGAACTTTGCCATTAGAAAACCTGCCGGTGGGTTGACCTCCATAAAAGTCTTTTCCATAAGGAGGATAATTCACCTTGAAAACTGTCGCTAAGTTATTGTTGTTTCCTGTATCTACTACTGAATCTCCAAACACTATCACTGCTGGCACTATATGAGTACCTACCTTTAAACGACAACGTTTTCCTAAATCACATGGTGATTGATTTGAATCATTGCTTATGCCACTACATTGCAACTGCAGCAAAAGCAGAAGCGGAAGAACAAGAAGAAGAAGAAGAAAGGAAAGTTGTCTATGGAGGAGGAGGAAGACTTGCATTGCTATTTTCGGTAAGTGCTTAAGAAATCTCTTTTCAAACTTATATTTAAGAGCATTGAATACACACATATCCAACTATATATCCCTGTCATATGTTGGTGTTTTTTTTTTTAATATTAATTCTTCTTATGATCACAATCTTTTTTTTTTCATTTTAAGTAATATAATAACATTATTTCTTGTTGTGGATTTCAATTTTCAACGTAGATAACTACAAAATTCATCATGAACGGAAAGAAATGAATTTTTTTATAGTTTTAACTCTAAAAAGTTAATGTTTTTGTTCTAAATCTCTTGAAATAGATACTAGTATATTTTAATAAACTTGTGTATTTTCTGAAATACATTACACTAAAGACGATATAATATGATCTAAAGAAAATAAATCAATATCATATTCAGTTTATAAAAGTTATTTAAAAAGGTTTCATGGAATACAAGTTACAAGTTACTACACGATAAATAAATGAAACAAGCTCAGTTACATTTGATATATAATCAGTCTACAGTTAAATCAATTGAATTATGAGTTTAATACTTAACTTTACTAAAATACTATACATATAATTTTTTAGTCTATCCATATACTACATCTGCAAAGTATTAAAGTCTTTACGTCTTACTGTTATATCATGCAACATGGATGTGGTTGCAGGTTATTCATTGTGAATTTATGAGGCTTCTGCATTTTTCCATGCTTTCTAGATATACTTTAATTCTGGGACAACAAAATCACATTATAATTTTATTTTAGACGATATTTGATAACACTGTTTACATTTAGATATAGGTGTTAGTTTTATTTTTATTTAATTTGGACATAACTTAATCACGAAATTGTATATGAGTTTTCTTTTTTTACAGAAAGAACTCCGCAACAAAAGACTGAAAATGAGATATCAACTGTTAAGTTCCAACTTAATCCAAATCATGCCATACAAACTAATTAATGGCACCGTAAGGCATGTCGTCGTGAGAGGGATTGTCGTTGGAAAATTTTGTCGCTATGGCGGAAACTCCACCTACGATAATTTGCCGTGAGGGGGATTGTCGGTTGTTGGTTTTTGAATAAAGAACGTAATGTTGTGGTTTGTTTTGAAATGTTGATTTAATTAACTAAAGTCTTTTGCGATTTTCCATTAAAAATGTGTCAAAATAATTGAACATTTTTATTGTAAAAATCATGAAATTACACGTACTTTTACTTTTTGTAACATTTGAGTTCTGATTATGTTTTTCGACTCTTTAATTGAGAGTTTTATGGTCCATAAAGAAGTAGAAGGATGGGGCGAAACAGGAAGTCATTTATCGTATTTGTTGAAAAATATGAAATTTTGGAATTAATAGCAATACACTCAGGCCCATGGGCTGAACGACTTATTAGGGTTTTGGAGGCTATTTAAGCACATTAACCACTATGGTTAGCTCATTCTCAACCTCCACCACTCCTTAGAGAGATCCCACAAAACACTAGCCTTCTCTAACTTGTTTTGAGCATTGGAATCCTTTTGGGAAGCTTATTTCTCCATTTTTTGGTTAAAGCTTAAAGATCAAGAGTTCATTTTGGTGCATAGAAGAAAGGCTCAAGTGCACATTCAACAAGGTTGTTTCAATTCTAAATATTTGTGAGTATAAAGCTTCAAACTCTCTTTCTAGTTAGGGATGGAAATAGGGTGGGGGTTATGTAATGCCCGTAGATCTAGGCTAGTCAATTTAGAGAAAATAAACATCAAAAGTGACTCTTTGATGGAAGATTATTTAGAATGATTAATCGTAACTAAGTTGTAGTGTATGTTACAAGGATTCCGTACATATAAAGAACGCCGAAATCCGAGTTGTAACGAAGAAGTTATGCCATGTCGAAGTTTCGCGGCAGAACCAGCACGACACAGCACGATGTAAATAGTGAATTTACGTTAGAGCAATATTTGACCTTAGAAATCTAAATGAAAGTCGTAGAGTACGTTAAACCGAGAGCGTGCATAAAAAGAACGTCCAAATCTGACTTTGTATGAGGAAGTTATGATTTTTCTAAATTTCAGCTTAACAGTATGCAACCTGAAGTTCGAATATGAGATCGAGTGATTTCTAGGCGAAACGATCTAAACGAGAATCGAAGATCCCATCGATAGTAGTCCAACGTTAAAAAGACAGACAATAACAGACATCAGATGAAGGAGTTGTGAATTCCTAACGGATGGAGTCTAAACGAGAGTTGTAGAGAATAATCTCACCTACGCGTTGATATAAAGAACGTCGAAGACGGAGCTTGTATGTGAAAGATATGAATTTTCGAAGTTCGGAACACAAACTTCGAGGTCTGTCAGAATTCACGACGTGAGCAGGCAAGTTGCAATGACACATTGGATGATGATCGAGCTCAAGATGTGAGTATAAGAGGCTCACTGCGAGAGCATAGCATTTTGCCCTATAAATAGAAATCAAAGGGGCAGCTAGGTTTGGTTGTTCCTTTCTCACTCTCTCCCTCCGTAATACCTTAATTTACGTGCTTTTTATACCCCGAAGCCCTAATATTATCCCGAGACCCAAAGCGACACTCCGAAGATCCCGAGAAGAAAAGAGTTTCCGAGCTGAAGCTCTACCCGTGAGAAGCCCGGTGTGTGAAGATATCATAATTTCACCGAAGAATACTACTTTTAGAGTCGTAGTGACGTCCGATCATCTTCTGTTCAAGTGAGTGTATAGTCCCTTTCATAAACATGATTTTATTACAAGTATTGTTTGAATTTATTAAGTATATGTTTTGGGTGATTGTGTAGTCACTCTCTTCTAACACATAAATATGAAGTATTTGCTATGAAATACATGTTATGTGTTTATATATTGTTGTTTATTTAAGATGAGTGCGGAATGGATGTTTTATATAGTTTTAAATGAGTTAAACTGTATATGTATTTTATATCTACAAATATATTGGGTATAACATGGGTAGATCAGATAGTTGGTGTGTGATAAAAGATGAGTTGGATAATGAGATCAAGAGGTTAATTTTAGATCCGTGAGTATGGATCAGGTAAAGAGATAAACTTGTTATTAGTCCGGGAGTATGGATTAAGACTAAGTTAATTGTCCATAGTTAGGGAGTATGGATTGGGCACAGTTATTGATCTGGGAGTATGGATCGGATCAGGAGATTAGTTTTAGATCCGAGAGTATGGATTAGGTGAAGAGATTAGTTTTAGATTCCGGGAGTATGGATCAGGTGAAGAGATTAGTTTTATATTCTAGGAGTATGGATCAACTGAAGAGATTAGTTTCAAATCTGGGAGTATGGATCATGTGAGGAGATTAGTTTTAGATTCCAGGAGTATGGATTAGGTGAAGAGATTAGTTTTAGATTCGTGAGTAGGGATCAGGTAAAGAGGAAGGTTTTAGATACGAGAGTTTAGATCATTTCGTTGTAAGGATCGACGGGGTGGGATAAGTGTTGTTTGTGTATAGTGAAATTGTATATGTTTATGAGTTCTAATATATATATATATATATATGATACAACATTGTGGGTTGAAAACCCTATATGCTCACCAGGATCCCAAGTCTGACCCACTCAGTTTTCTTTGTATTACAGGTAATGACACAAGAGTATAATTTGGTGGACTTGACGAGAGATTTTGGATAATAGACCAGTAGTTGTAATAACTGTTGTAAGGTCGAATTGTAGTGTTTATGTTTTTGGTTTGTATCAGAACATGACATCCCGAGATTTTGTTATTTAATGAAAATACATTTCTTTATATAAATGCTTTGATAAATTCTTATCATATTTTGTTTTGGGAACAAATTCCGCAACTCTTTTAATCAAAGGATTACTCTGATTTTATAAAACAAAGCATAAACAAATCGATCTTTTCTGGCTGTGAAAATGGGGATGTCACAGTTGGTATCAGAGTATTAGTTTAAGCGAACTAGGAAATTGTAGGAAATTTCTAGACTTAAACTTAGAATGCTAAGTAATGATCATGAAGTGTGTCTAAAATATGTTAGGTAGTACACCTAAATTGACACGAGCACTAGTATATTTTAGGAAAAATGCTTAAAATGCTTTTATGTGCTAAATGCTATACGTTTTCCATATATGAAATTGTTTGTTCGGATCTATGGTTTGTTGCCGACCGGATCTGGAAACCTTATGTGTTTAGGATTCTAAGCGTACGACTATGATATTAGAACTAGCATGTAAACGTTTCAGAGTGATAATGATAATTTGAACGTCTATAACGGTTGTATTCGGAACAATAGCAAATTTTCAATCCAAGTGAAAATTCACAATTTTAACGATTATTAGATATAAACCTACATTTTATTAGTTTATAATAACAGCTAGAAATTTAACAAATATTCTTGTAACCAAATATTTAATATTTTATAAAGTGACAATATTAAACATCCAAAAATTACTATTATTATTATTATTTTTATCTATATAACCATTAGTCGACATATTAGTAAATATGTATGTCTTAGACATATTAGTACATATGTATGTCTTATTGGGTTTATATAAGTCTATAATTTTGCACATTTTTATACCCAAAAGTGACCTATGTTATTTATATAATAACAGTAACATATTACGTATAATTATTTACATATATGTAAGTAATAGAATAACATGCAATGAGGTATAGAGATACAAAATTTGGAGATTTTTAATGTTTCATTATGATTTAAGAATAAGTACAACAAGTTTTATAGGGTAAGAAATTCATAACTCCATTTTACGCGAATAGTGCATTTTTGTGGATAAAAGCTTTTATGCGACACAAAAAAACAGTCACAATATGTATAAAAGTGTCATATAAGTAATAAATGTAATATTTAAAATTTTATGAACTCATGCAATTTCTTATAGTTTGAACCTGTAATATCATATGCTTGTGTGTATTCCCCCCCCCCCCTAAGTAAAAAGGGGCCATGGAGACTCATGTTAGTAGCGAGAGTCGGGAAGTGTCGGGAAGATCGAGTTTTGAGCGGGTTTT